CCCCCTCGGCTCCCCCTCATTCACATCCTACCACTCCCCTGCCTTCTCTCAGTCCTCCGACTGGCTCGCTCTCTGCTATTTGATTTCTGAACATGGAAGTGCCCCAGAGTTCAGGCCTACAATCATCTGCTATCCTACATGTTTTTACTTATTCATTCATTTGTGTCTTCTTGATGAAATATGAGAGGTCTTCAAATATCAATAGTTAATGGAAAGTATATATGATGCAAGAAAAACTATGCATGGCTTACAGAATGTTTTCACACCAAAATAAATGAGTACTTTAGTTCCACATTTCCCAAGCTTTTAAGAGTCCCCTTGTGTAACTTCCAAATGGACAGAATGTGTTTCTGCTTATTAAAAATATTAAAATTATCTCAATCTTTCAGTAAATTTGCCAATGTGGTGCAAAGGCCTTGTGTTTTTAGTGAACCATTTGAGAATAAATTGCCAACATGGTACTAAATGGCGCTGAATTTTTCAGTGCGTAAATTCTACAAAGACGTTCTCCTATGTAAGTTCAAAACAATCATCCAAATCAGGAGATTAACACTGATACATTATTACCACCCAGTCATTGGATTCCATCCGATTTCACCAATTGTGCCAGTAAGTGCTTCATAACAAGAAGATCTAATCCAGAACCATCTGTTACATTTGGCTGTTGTCTTAGACTGTTATTCCATTGGTGACAGAAATACCTAAGACTGGGTGATATATAAAAACAGATATTGGGACCAGCAGTTGGCGTAATGGTTACATTGCTGGACTCCGACGTAGTCAACCACTGTTCAAGTCCTGGACCCAGAGGCTTAAACTCATTCTGGGCACATGTGTGTGCATGCCCAAAATCCCAAAATGAGAATGAAGAGGAAGGAGGGATTGTGGCGTGGCTATCCCTGTTGAGGGGTGATTTCTTGCTTTTTGTCTCTCCATCTCTTTGGTGAGCACATGCTCCCTATAGCAAACCCTCCCCCCAAAAAGCAAGTATTTATTCAGATTTGGAGGCCCAGGGTCCAGGGTCCGCATCTGGTAAGTTTTCCCACTGGTGAGGTACTGTTCAAAGTCTCTTCCTCTGTCTCACTTCCTCTCCTTATAAACCTACCAGAACTTAATCATGGTCCCTCCTACTATCCTCAACTTTAATTGTAATCTCTTCCCAAAGACCCCAGCTTTTGAAACCATAATTTGATCAAGTTTCACCCTTTTAATCCCATTACAATGGCTGGACACATGAATTTGGGGGGGCTCGTTTCTTCCGATGTTTTTTACTTGATTTTTATGACATTGACACTTTTATGTATTTGCTTGCTTGTTTCTAAAAACAATAACCACTTTGACACTTTTAAGTCCACAGACTGGTTTCGTTGTAGAATGGCCTTAAGGTTTTTCTGATGTTCAGCTGATTCGATTAGGTGTTGCCTCCTTGGCAGGAATATCACAGAGGTGATGCTTTTCTCACTGCATCCTCTAGGTGGCATGCAGTCTTGATTTGTCCCGTTAATTACTGATGATGTTCACATGGATCACTTGATGAAGGTGATGTCGAAACAGAAACACCTCCATCTTTGAACTTTAGGCTTGTGTCCTCCTTTTTCCCAGTGTAAGTAGAGTGATTATTAGTCTTGCTGTCTTCACTAACTAGCCCAAAACCTTTTGTTCAGCTGTTCCTTAGCAATGTAACTACCAATCACTGGACCCCTGCCTGGAGCCATGGGGAACATTAAACAAAGGTCTGGAGAGTGCCCTTAGAAATAACCTGCCTGATTCGGCTTCTGTAACTGCTTTCACATGGGAACCCCACTCCGTTCCTCCTCACCCCCTCCTCAGTGTCCACTGAAATTACCACATCAACCCAGAATTGGTAGTGATCTTTGCCTTTATAAGCACTCCTCTCCTTTCACTCAGGGTTGTGTGGTTTTGAGAG